TTGTAAAAGTAAAAAAAAATAAACACTGGCTGTTCTTGCAGAAGACCCAGGTTCAAATCCCAGTACCCACATGTCAGCTAAGAACTGTCTGTAACTCCAGTTCCAGGGGATCCTATGGCCTCTTCTGTCCTCCAGGTGCATTGCATGACACAGGTGCACTTACCTACTTGCAGGCAATACACACATACACATAAAATGAAAATAATAAATAAAATATTTTTTAATTTTAAAAAGAGCTGTCAAAGCTTTCTCCCAACTGATTTCTTTTTTAATTTTATTATTTTTATTTTATATGTATGAGTGTATCACCTGCATGTATGTGAGTGCACCCGTGTCATGCAATGCCTCAGAGGTCAGAAGAGGGCTTCGGATTCCCCTGGAACTGGAGTTAAGGACGGTTCGTAGCCGCCATGTGGGTGCCGGGAATTGAACCCGGGTCCTCAGTAAGAGCAGTCAGTGCTCTTGACCACTGAGCCATCTCTCCAGTCCCTCCTTACTCAAGTTTTTAAGAGACCAGTTAAACCCAGCATAAATTTGAGACTAGAGGAGATTAAGCTTCCTTTGAGGGAACAATATATACATATATTACTTGGAATCATTCTCTAAAGAAAACTGTTACTTTGACAACATTTATTTATTCAATTATTTGTTTATGTAAATATGAACTCAGATTTTTTTATACTTTCTGTTATAATCCAAAACCAGGGCAATTAATTTTAAATAACCTAATATTTATTTTTAATATTTTATTATTTTTATTTTATGTATATGAGTGTATTGTCTGCATATAAGTGAGTGCACCCATGTCATCCAATGCCGTGGAGGTCAGAAGAGGGCTTTGGATTCCCCTGGAACTGGAGTCAAGAACGGTTTGTAGCCGCCATGTGAGTGCTGGGAATTGAACCCAGGTCCTCAGCAAGAGCAGTCAGTGCTCTTAACCGCTGAGCCATCTCTCCAGCCCCATATTTTTTAAATAACAAATATCATGACTAAAATATCTAAATACAAGTAGCTGGATATAATGTTTAAAAATTAGAGATTGTCAAGTAAATCTATAGAAAACTGATTTTAAAAGCTCAGAGAAATATGTTTTGACATTTCATATCAATGTATATTTCTGTAAGCTTTTTAAAAGAACACATTCAAAATCTACCCTCACTTGCTTTCTCTAAAAGGTATGCTGTTTAAACATCTACCTTAACTGCCCAGACACCATAATGGCCACTCGATCACAGACAGCCTCTGCCTCTTCCATGTAATGAGTAGTCAGAATAGCAGCCCGCTTTTTGTTTTTAAACGCAGTTCGAATTGCTCGCCTACAAAACATAAATAAAAATTAAGAAAAACACATCTGTTTGTTAATGGAAATAAGTTTTTCAAAATCTATTTGATTCGAACTTACCCAATTTATATAAGCTATTATAGCCTACCCAACTATGGTTGTTCTGTTTAATAATCAGGCTGGGGAATAGCTCAGACATAAATCACTTGCTTACAATGTACAATGTCTTGGTATTAACCCCTAGCACTAACCAAAAACAAAAAACAAAAGCAGAGAGGGAGGGAAGGAAGAAAATGACTATCAATGTGTTATGAAATTTAATGCTTTGTGTGATATAAGAAAAACAGCCATATACACATAAGAAAATATTAACAAATTTCCAAATCAAACTCTATAAACATGGAAATCAAGGACCAAAAAATGATTCAATTAATTAATACTTTAAATTACCAAAAAGAATTCCAACATAAATTCAAAACGGTATCATGAGAAAGATAATTTACTGTTAAATGAATAGGAAAAAAAATCTTCTAAAACCTATTCAGATTTATCTATTTATTTATTTTTATTTTATGGGTCTGAGTACTTTGCCTACCAGGAAATAAGTACACCAAGGACATGCAGTATCTGCGGAGGCCAGAAAAGGGGATCAGATACCCTAGACCTGGACTTACAGACAGAAGTTAGTCACCATGTAGATGCTGGTAACTGAACCTAGGTCCTGTCCAAGAGCAGTAGGTGCTCTTAATCATTGAGTCATCTCTCCACCTCTAGAACTATTTAACGATCACTGATATATTCATTTCTGTTTTATAGTATATAAATTATGTATATTTCAAGAAAGATGATAAAATTTTTCAAACAGAAATACTCAATTTTTAATTGCTATTCTATTATACACATTACTAATAAAAAGTTACTAGTTAAAGTGAAAAGATCTACTTCTTTATACTAATGTACAAGGTAATGTACTGCCTCAAGTGTTATCAGTGTCATACTCACCACATGTGCTGTTTGGCTTTGGGGTCCATACCTGTGGATGGTTCATCCAGGAGAGTCACCTGAGGATTCCCAAGCATACTGAGAGCAAAACATAACTAGATGGAAAGAAAGAGAGGAGGTGGACAAATAAGGCTTCCCTATAAGGAAGTCTATCAAGACAGCTACAAGGACTAACCAATAAAACAGAGGTATTTGCTGTCTAATGAAAAGTACCTTTCGTTTGATTCCTGCAGGTAGTTTCTTTATAGTTTTCTGAAGATGGTCTTTCAAATCAAGGGCATTTGTTATTCTGAAAAATGGCCAATTTTGTATTAATATAGATAATTATAATTGTGTGTGAAGAGTTATTTGACATTTAATATAAATAACAAAACCCAGCAATTTCTATATTTTCTTACTTTTTAAGGAGGTATTTTTCAGATTTTTAATTTTATATGTATGTGCATGACATGCATACAGTGCCTACAGAGGCCAGAAAAGGGCATCAGATCCTCTAGAACTGGAGTTACAGATGGTTGTTAGCTGCTAGGTGGGTGCTACAAACAGAACCCAGGTCCTCTGCAAAAGCAAGCAGTGCTCCTAACCATTGAGCCATCTCTCCAGCCCCCAATTTATATCATTTTACATAAATTGTCATGATAAAATGATTCACTTAATTTTTATTATGAGTAATTCTTTCTGTAATTAGAAATGCAAAAATAGTCTTATATGTATAATTCTGTAAATACATGAAAGTAATAATTTTTCTATGAAAATTATAAACCACAAAAATGTTTATTCTAAAATTGAAAATCTGTGAAATGTAAATCTTTTCCCCCCAAGAAGCAAAAGCAATCCAAAAACAATCATTTTACCGACTTATAACTTCTTTCATGTCACTTGCACTCATTCCTTTCACAGCTCCATAAATTTCAAAATGTTCTTGCAGTGTAAGATCTGGCCACAGTGGGTTTATCTGAGGGCAGTAACCCATACACTTAACAGAGCCATCATCTTCAGTTGAATGTGAAGTATAATCTCCTAGAAATATCTACAAAAATACAAAACCAATTTTTAAAAATTATTTAATAACCACATACTTAGAAGAAGCATTTCATTACCTCAGCATTGACATATTCAGTTACAATTTTCTGAGCTAGGCTGCATCTCTTACAAAATTGGCTCTACATTTTTAGGTTTACAGTTGAATTATTACAGTTATACAATATTGTACTCAGTATAAACCCTGTAAGATATAAAATTAAATGAGGTTTTAATGTTTAAAAAGATCTCCATTTCATTATTAAAATACAGTGTTTCATGCAGAAAAATTCAATTTTAATGCAATTGACATTAAGATGTTTGCACATGCGTTTCTAATCTCTATATGTCAGATTATTACTAGTCACAGTCAATTACTTTCTGAGCTCCTTGGCATCTGAGCATGGATATAAAGTCATCAGGTAGATTTCAATGGTAATGTTTTTCACATCTACTAATTATTAAGGAGCAAATTTTTATGCTTTGAAGAATTATTATTTTTTTAATCATTATACTTTTTAAAATTTTTAATAACTACATGATTAGAAGAAGCATTTCATTACAACTTTAACATATTCAGTAACACACTCCAGAGCAAGAGTACATCTCTTTCACAAGTGGGTGCAAGTTTCTAGGTTCACAGTTGAATTAATATAATTATATATTATTGAACTCAGTACCAATTTTTAGTAAGCATCTTTTTGTAATCTATATTGTGAAGGAGGTAATCAAAAATTCACTCCGACTCCTTCCATCAGCCAGGGTAACATCTGGTCAGATTTTTACTATTTTTTAATGATGGAAGAACATATATAGCTAAGTCAGAGCAATACTACACTCTTGGGTAGGAAGGCAAGGCACAATTTTAATTACAGTCACCACGGGCCTTCACTGAGTATAAGTATAAGTAGTCATTTGAATTTCTAGGGGAAAAAGTATAATCAACCCAAGAGACAGCTCAGGCAAAAATCTCAAAGAAAAGACTATGCCTGGTATTCTCTAGGAAAGCAAAGAAACTACATAGCTGGCATAAAGAAACGGACAACACGGACAACACTGGGATAGCTTTCAGAAGTTTCTAGCAAGTGGTAAGTGGCAGGATTACAACTGAAGACTAATGGCAGTGTCAAGACACTAGCCACTCCAGAAATCAACAGTACTGTCTGAGGTAGATAGGGGCTGGAGAGGTGGCTCGGTGCTTAAGAGCACTGGCTGCGCTTGCCGAGGACCTGGGTTCTATTCCCAGCACTCATATGGTGGCTAACAACCAGCCATAAATCGAGTTCCAGGGCATCCAACACCCTCTCCTGACCTCTGTGGGCACTGCACAATAAGGTGCACTTAAATACATGCAGGCAATACTCATAAAACAAAAATAAGTAAAATATTTTTAAAGTAGGTAGATAAATCAATCATGCATGTAAATAATCATAAAAGCAGAAATATATGTGTATCTGTATGCATGGATGAAAATTTCACCATGTGTATTATTTTCACAGATGACCAAAAGATGATAGTTTCATCCGGCTATACTGAAAATACTAAAAACACATGAAATATTGAGCACCAAATTCCTAATGAACCTATAACTTAACTAAAACTTCAAGATATAGGAGACATGACCCACACCTGCTGTGCATCATACCTGGCCTGCAGTCGGTTCAGTATCACCAACCAGGATATTAATAACTGTGCTTTTGCCAGCACCGTTTGGACCCAACAGCCCCAAGATCTCTCCTATAGGAATCAGAAAAAAATCATATTCAAATCAAACTAAAAATGGAAATTATTCTTCTGAAAAATTTATTTAAGAAGAAAACCTAAATACTAACCTTTTTTCACACAGAAAGAGATGTATTTAGTCGCTACTTTCTTTACTTTCCGTGAATGAAGAAAATCTTTCTTGTCATCATATTCTTTATACAAACTGCTTACCATAATGGCTGGCTTCTAATAAGCAAAAGATTTTTTAAAAGAGATGAAACAGGTACCTATCATTTCACAGCCCATATCCTGGCAACTATATTCACATATAAGGGGGTACTGTATAAATAAGTTTTCACTAATGATTGAAATCATGGCTTTTTTCTGAAGTGACAAAACATTTTTCCATGTTTTTTCCACACACATTCATATGCAAAGAAAATGTTTCTTATTAATTCTTGTGCATTGCTAACTTACCATTTCAAAATTAATATGACAGTGGTGAAAAATAAATTACCTCCTCACAACACTGGCAGCTCATTAGCTCTTTGACCTTTAGTCTTTCAGCTTTGACATCTTCATCTTCATCTTCAATGATTGGTGGTTCCAGAAACTTCTTATTTTTGGTCTTTGGTCTGAGGGTCCTAAGTATACACAAATAGTAGAGTTTAAATAACTAAAATAATTTAAAAAATAAAGGCACCGCATGGAGAAAAACATTTTAAAAGCACGTCAACAAGAGATCTAGTGCTACCTCTGAAAAGCAGAAGTACAAATGGTGCTTTTCACTGACTGTTAGCATTTAAATGCCATCCAAATCCAATCCCGTACTCAACACTGTATATAAGAGCAGTAGATTTAGGTGTTATTCCACAGAAAAATAAAGAACAGGGGCTAAAGAGATGGCTCAGCAGTAAGAGTGCACACGCTGCTCTTCCAGAGGACCAGCACTTGTTCCCAGCACCCACATCAGGTAGCCTGTAACTCCAGCTCTAAGAGGCCCAGTGCCCTTTTCTAGTCTCTGGGTATCCACACCTACATGGCTTTCACTCACACAGACATACATATACACATAAGAATAATCTTTAAAAATGTAAAAATAAAAAATATGCACATTGTCCCCAAAGAAATTACCTTCTAGGTATACGTGAAACTGTGTAGAAAGAGTAGACAGAGCTGAAGCAAGAACCCAAAGGAATACCAGCTTTAACGACAAGCAAACGAAGTACTTGCAAAGAAAAATGTAAATAAGAAGACGGTGAAGAAGTAAATTGTGGGAGACAGGCTTGAGCCTAGGGTGATATTGAAACTGTCAGGGTCATGTGGTTTCCAGGAATCCAGGCTCTGTAATCTGAAACCCAGTATGCTAATGAGGAATCCTACCCGCTATTTTGTGATAGGACCTTAAGTCTGTTATGCTAATAGGATGATGCTAATAAGGTATCCTACTTGCTGTACTGTGATAGGATGCTAAATCTGTTATGCTAATAAGGTATCCTACTTGCTGTGCTGTGATTGGACCATTACCCCTATATAAGCTTGTGCCTTCCTGCAATAAAGCAGACCTGTGTCACTGAACCTGGTCTCCTGTGTCTGAATGCGGCTCCACTGACACAGTCTCCTCACCAGCCCTGGGGTCCAGGATGGGGCAGAAGCAGCGATGACAGGAGTCAGCACAGGACAAGCAGAAGAGCTGCCTCAGCACAAGGTGAGGCAGAAGAGCGGCCTCAGCCCAGGGCAAGTGGAGGGGCAGCCTCGACGCCTGTGAGAACAAAGGAGCGGCACCCACGAGAACAGAGGAGCAGCCAGCACTGGCGGTGACCGCAGCTGGCGCCCAGTGTGGGGCTCGAAAAGCCCGACCCCACGAGGTTGTAACACTTGGGAACACTTTGGGCTCCTGATGCCCTCTTTGCCAGCGATTCTTCTGTGGGTGCTCGCTGCTTTCATTCTTCTGGCTCGCTGTCTTTGGTTTGGCATACTGCTCCTGTCTTCGCCGATCATCTCCTTGAACAGTTCCTGAGCCCCTTTGGGTATGTCTTGCAGGGTGAGTGACCTCCAGTATGGGGAATAGTTATCCAGCTGCTGCCGGCCTCTGTGCTGCTGCACTGGTTTCTCTCCTCAGGAGTAGGAAAATTAGGGTAATAGAGAAGGAAGTAACAAAGGTATTAGATAAAGTGCTAGCTCTTGCTCCTTGGTTTATAGATTCCTGCTGTTGGGATCTGGAGCAATGGGCTCGTGTGCTACTCATGGCCAGAAAGAGAGAAGTCAGGGAGGGATGTCCATTATCTGGGTTGTTCTACCCCACTGTGACTGCCATTCTGGCCTTGCTTCAGGGAGTTCCCCCAATGCCCCTGAGCAGAATAATCTCATACTAAAAAACACAGATAAACAAATAAAGCAACAGGATAGTGGGGACGGCCTGTCCCAGGCATTTCTAGTCAAACCAAACTAACTGATTTCTGATTTGAAAATGATTACTGCTGATAATGAGGTAAAAAGTGACAAATTAGGGTCCGAGGGTCCCCCTGATACAAAACAGAAAGTCAAGATTGCCCCTGCCCTGCCATTATGGGGTGGTGGCTACCCTCCACCACCTTGTATTGGCTTTGATGAAAAACGGGAAGGCAGCCTCGGCTCCGCCATTATGGGGCGATGGCTCCTTTCCGCCATCTTGCACTAGCTCTAAGGAAGTTTTCCCCCAGTCCATCTACCCCTCCCTTCCAGAGGAGGACTGGAAGTCCCTGCCGCCTAGGCTCTCTCCTATGATACAATGGGTAATTTTCCACAGTTTTTCCTGGTTACCATCAATCAGGGACTATGGCATTCATTACCCTTGGTTTGGTCAGTTATTAGATAAAATCAGCCATGCGGCCAACGCTCCCTATGACTGGCAGAATATTGCCCATGCCTGTCTACAGGGAGGTGATTTTCTCTTATGGAAGGCTATCAAAATGAGTGTAAACAACAGGAAAAACACAATAAAAATGCCAATGTTCAAAACATTGGATATGACACCTTTGTAGGGCATGGCAATTTTAAAACCCCACAAGCCCAGGCACAGGGACCTCCTTGCTACTTTAAACAAGTGTGGCTTTGTGCTCTCCATGCTTTCCAAAGTATGCCAACTCGTGAGGATACCAAATTGACCAGATTGATACAAAAACAGGCTAGCCTTTCTCTGACTTCATTGATGAATGGATTCTAGCCTGTCGGGATGTGGGACTGCTCGAGCTCATGCCACAGCTCTCGCTGAGGCACTGGTTGCTCAACAGCCACAGGCCGAGATGGACAAAGGCAAATGTTGGGCCTGCAGAGGACAGGGTCATTGGTCTCGCACCTGCCCTAACAAGATCTGGACACCTGTTGTTAATGCAAGGGCGAGGCTATGCTTGTATCTTTTCAGATAATGTTCCAGCCCCCATTTAGATCCCAGCTCAAAACATCAGAATTGCCTGCGACGGAAAACCTCCCTCCACAACCACTGACCCCAGAGATGGCAGCCCTGACCCTGGAGGAAGCAGCACACCTCTCAATCACCGAGAGACCAATCTCACAGACCATAAAAGCCACCAACCTGGGGAGAACTTGAACATCTCTCTCTGCAAACAGAGACATTAGCTAAGTCCTCAATCTAGAGGAAAACGTTTGTCTATGTTCCTTATTGTTTATGTTATCAGTATTAACTCTCAAGCTCTAGCAACTCTTGTTAACCCCCACTCACCCATCAACCTAACTTGACAGATTACTAATGTAGCCAATGAAAAGGAGGCCATGTAAAAATCTACACCCCTTGGCCAATGGTTCCCTGACCTACAGATGTATACTAACTCTTCTGATTTTTGGACCCTGTATTGTCAAGGGTCTCCTTAATTTTGTTAAAAATCGTATTTCTCTTGTTCAGTTAGCTGTTGTCCTGCCTCCAGATCTTGCCAGGCATGTCTCTGAAAGCAAGGACCCACTGTTCCTTGCCCTTACCAACCTATAATTGGCCTCTGACGGTTTTCAACAAATTCTTAACCCCTGAGGAGGCCTTTAAACAAGCCAATACTGGATGTACTTCCTCTCCTTCTGCCAAACCACACAAAGGGACCCACCCTTTGAGGGTCAATGACAGGTAAGATCCCGACAGATGGGACAACCTAAGACAGGCACAGTCCATTATGCTGGGTGACCCTTGAGGTGGGGACAACAATGCCGAGGCAAAAAATCTCGACTCCCACTGGTTGGCATGGAGTTAGCACAACCTGCTTTTGCCGTCTTGACAGAGGGAACTCTTGACACAATAACCCCCTTGAGCCATTGTACTTTGCCTTGATGTATTTGGACTGATATCAATATGCTATATACCTCACCTTTAAAAATAAAAAAAAGGGGGAGATGTTGGAGACAGGCTTGAGCCTAGGGTGATATTGCAACTGTCAGGGTCACATGGTTTCCAGGAATCCAGGCTCTGTAATCTGAAACCCAGGA